ACTTGCTATTGATTGTGCCTATTGTTTGATTGCTATGAATTTTATCAATTCATTTTGGTTCACTTGGAAGTCTTAGGAATTTTGTGAAATTGAAATGGAAACTTAAAGACTTTGATTCATTGATTGAAAAATGCTTGAGGCAAGCATTAAATAAGTGAGAGGAATTTGATGAGTGTTTAATTTTGTTATTATTTCATTGTCAATTACTCTTTTATTTGTTGGGTATGTGGCTAAGTTGGGTGTTTTCTGTTATTTATTGTGTAGAGCATTGGATTCTAGAAACTATGCTAAAAAGAACGAAATCTACAAATTTTTATTTTTTTGTAATCATGGTTGGACCAGTGGGCATGAATTAGGGCATGAATTTACTGACGTGGTGACAAGTCAATATTTTCGTGCAAGCAGAAGACTCAGCCACAAATCCAAACATGATTTTAGGATTTATCTTTATTTTTAGATTTATTTCAAACAATTATGAGAATTATCTTTTTCAATTATTAGGAATGGTTTTTTTGTGATTTTTAGGAATTATCTTTACAATTTTTTAGGAATTAACTCTTAGGGTTTTTAGGGTTTTTGAGGGCTACAAATACCCCTTGGGGTAAGCCTCAAATCACCATTCACTTCTCGAATTCTCTTGTTTTTCTTTGCTCTTGTTTAATAAAAGTTTTTACTTTTCTCTTTTGTTTTTACTTTTCGCTTTTACGTATTTCTTTTTAAATGCTAAGTATGATTTCTATCATACTTAGGTAAGTTTTTCATAGCCAAAGGTTGAAGTGATGATTAATTCCGTTGAAAAGCACGTAATACCCTTCGAGTTACATTCTCAGATTTCTGGAATCAAGAATTGGTAATCGATCATCCTTTTAAAATAAAAAATATTTTCTTTTCAAAAAGTGCACGTTGGATTGATAGTGTTTTCGATTAACAGTTGGGAGGAAGGATCAACTTGTTGCACATTCGACTTCCTGGGGACACACTTAGCGGTGGTCTGCTATTGGGAACTGAGATCATATTCGATTCTCTACGAGACACTATCCTAGTTGGGGTTTTCCAAAGTTTTAAAATTGAGTTGGCACTAATAATAATTGTTGCGATTAGTCCACATAAGGACTTGCAATCAAATATTGTTTTGGATATCGGTTCAATTGAGAGAGAAACAAGTTATAGGGGTTGGTTCCTATAGACTATAACCGACATGAATCCGAAGCTAAGATCTATTTTGATGATCGATGGAATTTGAGGCAAAGCGAAAGTGGAGGCTGATTTTTATAATTAAAATTTTAATTTAACTTCACTTCCTTTAAATTTTATTTCTTTAGTTTCAATCGAACAAAACCTCCTCTTTATTTTATTTTGCAGATCATGCTTTGCCTTGGAACAAAAATCAATTCATCATCAATTCCATATTCCCTAAGGATCGACCTTACTCTCTCTATATATTCTTTATTTAAATTTATTTTGAGATTAAAACTATTTTATTTGATAAGTAAAATGATGCATGTTCAAAATTCGAAACCTGAGAAATAAAAGAAAGAAATTAGATTTCTTTAAAATTAAAGAAAACAAATGGAAGATAAAATACTCTTTGATTTTCATCTTCAGATCGAAACAATTGAGGCTTGTCGCTACACAATTTCGTTAAGACAAATTTTTGGTCACTTCTTTAGTGTTCGAGTTCGTTGGATATCTCCCGATTCAACAACTTATGATAAGCTATAGTAACACATTTGCAAAGATCACAAACGATCCTTGCCTTCGACTATCATTGGAAAACTAGTAGAAAATAATATTTTCTAATAATGAGAGAAAATATATTATTAGAAAATATTTTTCAAGAGAAGAAAAGTTCTTCAATTCTGATATCGGAAAACTTGTGAAACTGATGTTTAACCTAGCAGGTTAGCTCACTATTTATAGGGAATTTTCAAGAGAGTTTTACTCAAACTAGATATATTTTAATATCTAAATTTAAACAGATAATAATATCTTTTAAGTTTAAAATATTAACAAGATATACACTCCTAGATATTATTTTAATTTGAAATATACAAATCATATAATTATCTTTAATATTCAAAGTTAAAAAGATAACAAATGTGTTTTTAAATTGGCATATTCAAAGAAATTGCCCTACTATTCAAATTAAAATTATATTTTAATTTGTAATAGTTAAAAGTACAATATAATATCAATATTAAATTCATTAATTTAATTCACCTTTTTTCCAACATTCAATTTCTTGGAGCTCAAAAAAAAAAATCATCTTCAAATCTAACACTAAAGTGGAATACTAGAGCGTAGCTAACGCAACATTTGAAGCAATATGACTACCAATATTATTAGTTGAGATGGGAGTTACACATATGAATGTTTTCACAATTTAAAGTGATATTATCAATGTTGTGGTAATGAATGCAAAATGAGTTTCATAAAAAAAGTTAAAGCATGTTGATCTTTATGTGTATCTTGTCTGCAACTAATGTGTCATTGTTCAGAATTACAATGGTGTATATGCATACGTTTTAATATATGTAGATGACATCATTCCCAAGCGGTCTTCTATTATGATTTTGAGATAATTACCTTGGACAAAATTTTCTTTGAAAGACATGAGAGATCTACATTTTTTCTTGATATGGAAGTTCACACGAATGGTCAATGCTTTTTTTAAGTCAACGGTATATGGTTTAGATCTATTGAGCAGGATTAAGATGATTGGGGGTTAATTCCACTCCTACTTCATTGGTTGGCTCCATATATTTGGTAAAGAATGCATGCAACTTACTTTTAGATGTCATATAGTATAGAAGTATTATAGATCTTTACTATATTTATGTCACACTAGACTTGATATCTCCTAGTGTTAACATTGTAGTACAATCTCTTCATGCTCTTTGTGATGGTATTATGTTAGTAGTAAGGAGAACTATGTTATCTAATTGCAACAATTGACTATGACTTGATTTTTCATCTTGCAGAACAAGGAGCAACTTTGATGGCGTTTGTTGATGCAGACTAAGGCATCACAAGGATGATCGAAGGTCCATTTTGGGGCACTATGCTTGTTTTGGGAATAATTTAGTTTCTTGGAGCTCCAAGAAACAAAAGTTCATCTCCAGATCTAGCACTAAAGTGGAATACTAGTGCGTAACTGATGCAACATTTGAATTAATGTGGCTACAAGCATTGTTAGTAGAGATGGGGGTTACACAGACGTATGTTTCAATGATTTAAAGTGATATTATTAGTGTCGTAGTAATGAGTGCAAAATAATGTTTCATAAAATGTTAAAGCATGTTGATATTTATGTTCACTTTGTTCGATAAAAAGTTATAGGAGAAAGACATTGAGTTAACTGTGTTCCGGCTCAACATCAAGTAGCAGATGGATTCACCAAACCGCTCATGTGTGCCAACCTAGAGTTGAGTTCATCATTTAAAGGCTTTCCCCATATTGATTCACCTCCTCTCCCAGTACCTGTATCACCACCTTCAATCATAGAATTCCTAGAAACCAGAGAGAATAACTTCATCAGAGGAGTCAACAGTATTAAGCCAAGTGATTTATGTTCTATAAATTTATATTCCGTGTAGATTGTGAGAAGAAAAATATGTGAAATCAAATTTTTGAATTCATAAACTGTGATCACGTCAGGTTTCTGTTGGCAAGCAAATTGTGAAGGACATTGAAGCTAAGGTTCAAAGCTCTCCTGCCGCAGCTGATATAGAGACTAATCAGGGATTATGAGCTAGCTGGAACCAGGGATTTAAATTGCGGCCGAGGCCGCGTTTTTGGTCACATTGCGTTTATTGTAATTGCAGATGTAATAGATGCTATTGCGGTCATTGCGGGTATCGTGGTCGTGAACTTTCTCCAAATGAGTTTTTTTTTAAAAAAAGTTCTCTTTTCTTTTTAAATAAAATAGCGGAAAAAAGCGGAATAGCGATCTCCGATAGCCGCGATTGTCCATTATACATTAAATTGTGGCCGTGACCTGTCACTATTGGTGTGATTCCGCTACACACCGCTATTTTCCGCGATAGCGGTCTCGGATGTCACCGCAACCGCGATATAATAGCCGCGACACCGTTATCCAGCCGCTATTTGAATCCTTGGCTGGATCCCTTTTCAGTCTTAATTTCTACACTTTGTGTTATGAACTTTGATTGCTTCTTTTTGCCACTAGTATCAGATTTTTCTGCTCACTTTGAGTGGTGAAAGAATTTTTTTATATCCAAAAGAACACATAGTATACATAAAACCACACAAAAAAAGGGAATGATCTAATTATCTATATGTTGAAGCAGAAGTGAAGCACTGGCATTCATTTCTCAAGAACGTCAGATCTAATAGGAACAAAAAGAAACCACATTATAGTGCTTTAACTCACCAAATATAGAGGAAAACTTTGACAATTACAAAAACTATACCTCATAACAGCAACTGTCATAGGGGTGAGGTTCCCGAGATAACTTGTTAAAACAAACTATGTCATGCTAAAAGAAAGAAACCAGTACCACTTAACTAGGTCAGATCTAAACATAATACATCAAGATGTCAAACGGAAGTCCCTATCAATCCAGTTTATCATCAACGCTGTTCATTCTCATTGTTTGACCTCAAAATGGGTTGTTCTCTTGCTCTTTCCGTGGCGCCTTCTGCTTTGACTTTTAGAAGTATCACTTGATTCCCACATAAGTTATTAGTTTTTACCCTTAATTTGTTCACATTGCTTGCTTCCAGATAAGCGATTCTGTTTCTAGGATAATGCTCCTCAGTTCTTTAACAAAATCCGGGTTTAATTCGATTGGCAAAGCAGTCATAGTATCAAACAGGTTCCGAATTTGAGGTCCGGGTTTTCGTACAAATGCCTATATTAGAAAGTATATCCAAGGACTGCGATTATAGCAAAGACTACTACTATGTTCCATCTGTACTTTGTCCACTATAAAACTAGAAAAAGAAACTGGCTGCTGGTGCAGTGGACATAGTAGAAGCCGAAGATGCTTAAATTTTCAAGTGTTCTAACATTATTTGTTTTATTCTTTGTGTCAGCAAATGCTTTATCCATTGATAAGGTGTTTCCAGGCAATGCTACTGATGTCGAGGTCATAAATTCCTTGATAAATGATGACGATACTATCTGCAAATCGATGGTGCAGGCTCAAGGTTACGCCTGTGAAGAACATAAAGTAACGACATTGATTTCTGCTTAGAATTCACGTCTTTCAACCTTGTAACTTCTAATTACTGCTGTCAGAAACTTTCTAATCGTTCTTCCAGGTCACGACAAAAGACGGTTACATCCTTAGTGTGCAGCGGATTCCGGCAGGACGGTCTGGTAAGACAGCGAACAAACCACCGGTGCTGCTGCAGCATGGGATCTTTGTGGTTATCCACCGTAAAACCATTAATCTTGATGTTTGTATACATGATGATTGTCAATAACGTAACGTAGCATGTTATATGGTGATAGGATGCTGCACCATGGCTGTTGAACTCTCCAGAAGAATCTTTGGGTTTCATTTTAGCAGATATTGGCTTCGATGTGTGGCTTGCCAACACGCGCGGAACTAAATACAGTAGCGGACATACATCCCTGAGTCCGAACGATTCGGTTCGATCTCTTATATTTATCGTAATCCATGATTAGATCTTCGCAAATCTTTATTTATTACATATATTTCTGTTTACAGGCTTACTGGGAATGGTCATGGGATGAATTAGTCCAGTATGATCTTTCTGCTTTGGTCCAATATGTTAACTATGCAACTGGGCAGAAGCTGCATTATGTTGGGCATTCCTTGGTAAAAATTACTGCAGTTTTTTTGGTTCAGAACCATCTATCATGACATATGCTAAGCACAAAATAAAACTCTTTTAGGGAACTTTGATTGCTTTAGCTTCCTTTTCCCAACAAGATGAGCTGATAAACAAGTTAAGATCGGCTGCTTTGCTTAGTCCGATCGCTTACCTGAACCGGATTCAATCGATATTAATAAAAGCTGCTGCTCAGCTGCATCTAGCCGAAGTAAGATAGATCTTTCAATAATATTGGATATGTACATAACTCTCACCATCAATTTAACAGTGCCCTTCATGTTTATCCAACAGGAACTAGACAGCTTGGGTTACTATGAATTCCCACCAGGCTGGTGAGAATCAATAAACTTGATTAACATGAACATCATCAAATACAATGCAGTCAATATATCTGCTTGAAATTGTTCTTGGTTGATGTTGAACAGGGACATCCTTGGACCAATTCTGGAAAAGATATGCAATGAAACAGGCACAAATTGCTCCAGTATAATGACTGCTTTAACAGGTCCAAATTGCTGTGTAAACACTTCCAAGGCAAGCGTGTTACTTAAACATGAACCCCAGCCAACCGCTACTAAGAACATCATCCACTTATCTCAAAGTAACTGCCTTGAAACTTTAGCTTCCATAATCTTTGATCCCATCTGCTTGTAATTACTGTGGGAGGCCTTTGGTTTGTTGTTTGAAACAGTGATAAGAACAGGGACCATAGCGATGTATGATTACGGCAGTGGAGATGAGAACAAGAAGCATTACGGTAACTCGAATCCGCCAGCATACGACATGAGAAACATCCCGACAGAGCTTCCTCTTTTCCTTGGCTACGGCGGTCGAGACATGCTAGCCGATGTTGATGATGTGAAGGCTTTGCTAAATGACCTCAAAGATCACGACGAGGGCGAGCTGGTTCAAGTATACAGCGAGGAATATGCACATGCAGATTTCGTTCTTGGTGTTAATGCTAGCCGAGTTGTCTATGATCCTATGATTTCCTTTTTCAACCTCCATTGACCTTCAACAAATAGCTCAGTTTTTTTTATATATCATCATTCTGTACTAAATAACAAAATTTAAGCTTAAGTTTCCTCATCTAGAGCAATTTCATTGGCATTTGATATACGGGTACCACTCTATAAGTAATATATATACATATGATAAAAAAAATTTTATTTTTCATATCAAAATTTTAATAAATTAATTTAAGCAACGATATTATTAGTGTTCATATTGATTTAAATATTTTTAATTTAATGAAAATCAATTACTACTTTAAATATAAGTCTTTATATAGAACTTTACATTTTTCCAACCATTTGTTTTCTAAAAAAATTCATGTCTAAAATGATATTTCATCTCTCAAAACTATTTCAGTGGATATGAACTAACGCCCATAGATTTTGTGTCATTTTTTAAAAGTTGAGAATAAAAGTATTTGTTTTTAAAAAATTAAAATAATTTGGAGTGTGATCAGTTCGTTTATTTTCAATTATATTTTCGACGAGCTTTTATTCTTTTTGATAAATTTTATATAATATTCTTTTATATTTTTTGGTTTTGTTTTCTTTCATTTAAATCCAATTTAAAAAGTTATAATATTTTTATACCAGGTAATCGGAATATATTTAGTGCAGAAAGCGTCTTCTATAAAACATTTATACTGAAAGTGTCTCTTGTAAAAAATTCATGTCTAACAAATATATTATTAATATAATTCCATTTTCTCGAAATTAATTGAACTAATCAATCGAACCAAATTAGTTCGAATAATTTGGTTGGTCACCGAATTAGTTTTGTCAGAAAACAATTAATATTTTTTTAATATTAGGTTAATGGTTAATCTAATTCGAAATCGATTAATTAACTGAAAATTTTAAAATATTTAATATATTATATATATTAAATACATATTTTTAAGCTCAAACCCATTAAGAATTATGATCAAATTATTTTTAATCACATCAGACCCATTAAATTATCAAGAGCTAACTAAATTTTAATCGAAATAAAAAATATCTATATTAAACTCAAATTAATCTAATTTAAAAAAATTATAAAATATTTTAGTTAATGCGGCCACCTACTAAATTAACCGAACTTTGTTCGATTTGATTAATTTTCAAAATAAAATTTAGTTCGATTACTGGTTAAAAAATCGATTAATTCGATTATTAGGTATTACCAAATTGACCGATTGACCACCCTACTAAATAGAGAAATAATTTGGAATGAGTGTTGAAATGATAAATTATTTTTAAATGTGTATGTTTAAGTAGTTTGCCTCGAAATTTTTTTATAAAAATAAGTGTCTAACGTTTTCATAATTATACTTTTAATATTAATTTTTAATAATAAAAATATTATTTTTAATTTAAAAAAATAAAAAAAAACTTAATTTATTTATAAAAAACTCAATTTTTTTACTGGAACTATAAAACCTAAAAAAATAAAATCTTTCATTTAACTTCATTCCCAATCGTCGTTGACCATCTCCGGCAACCATCATCATCGTCGAACGATCACCCACCCGTCGTCACCCACCCATTGATCAATCGTCATCCTTACCGTCACCCAAGATCCTTAAATCTAAAATCCCCAATATCAAAATCCTTAATTCTCAATTTTAATTTCCTAATCCAAACAGTCGCCAACCATCTCTGACCATCATCGTCATCGTCGAATAATTGAGTTTTGATTGTAATTGCACGTTAGTTTGAATGATGGCGACGTTGTAGCTTATGGATGTCATAATCGGCGAAGAACGGAGACATTATCTGACGAACCTTTAAACGTTCTTCCACAAAAAATGGCGACATATTACGACGAAAAAGTCAACGGAAGTTTGATCGGGGTCGACGCATGTGTTGCAGAAGGTGGTAATGACGGTCACAACTGACTGACCGACAACTATAAAAAGGGAAGGGAAAGGGAGAAGGGAAGTGGGAGGGGCTGCACCCACTTTTTTTTTTAATATTTTTTGTATTTATTTTTATTTTTTAAATAATTTTTAAAAAATTATCAGAATATGACACATATCACTTAATAAAATTTTTTAATTGTGATTAATGTTAATACATCTAAAAATATAATATTTGAAACATTAAATATTTATTTTTTACGAAAAATTTTTTAATATACTAAAATATTTTTTGAGATATCATTTAATTACTTATTTAAAAGACGTAGACTGCACACGTGTCACTAATAGGCGTTGGGAGCAGGATAATTTTACCTTTTCCACTCACTAATTGATCTTCTCCAACGAATAAGATTTTTCTTCTGATTATTTACATCGTGGCCACCTGACGTGGTGAAATTTCATTGGCTAACACACGTACCTTCCTCTGAAGACGAAGGGTTTCCCCTACTCTACACCGTCTCTCCAGAGGTTTCTTATTCGACTGAGAGTTTCAATCTGGGTGATAGAGGAAAATCACGATTTCCCGAGAAACTGAGGAAAAATAAATTAATGAAAATGTGTGGATCACGATCTCCGTTGCTAATAGCTTTATCATTGTTCTTCACATTCTTCACCATCTCTAACGCTCTTTACGGACCGTCGTCGCCCGTGGTTCAGCTCACTCCTTCTAACTTCAAGTCCAAGGTAAACCTTTCATCCTTCGCCGTTGATTAGGAAAAGAAAGTGCCCTATAAAATAATCGAAAAGAATAAGAAGGATCTAAATTTCTGTTAAGTTAAATCAAATACATAGTTTTGTAGGATCACAATTGAAGAAACTAAATGCGATCAGAAATGAGTTAGTTCTGTAGATTTTTTGTCACTTAACTATATTTTATTATAAAAGGCCTTTATTTGTTTTGATTTTTGAATTAGTTTTATAATTAAATTTAGATGAATGGCTTAAATTGCATTGAACATTCCAGTTTTCTGCTTCTTACCATTTTGGTTGGGTTTAAGCAACGATCTTAATTTACATTTCGATACTCTGTGATTAAAGTCCATATTGGGGATACACATGTAGCATATCATTTTCATTGCATTATGAAACTCCTCTCCCTTGAATTTGATGTTCGCTTTTTTATTTGTAATTATAGAAGGGGAAGAGCCAAATCTTTTCAAAGAGAAAATATTATTCACTATGAATTAATCAATTGTAACAGGTTTTAAATTCGAACGGAGTTGTTTTGGTTGAGTTCTTCGCGCCTTGGTGTGGTCATTGCCAAGCTTTAACACCTACATGGGAGAAAGCAGCCAATGCCTTGAAAGGTGTTGCTACTGTGGCAGCTCTTGATGCTGATGCTCACAAGTCCCTTGCTCAGGTTTGGAGAGTTCAAATCTATCAAACACACCTCTTCCTTAAATCTGACATTTAATGTCGGTTCTTATTGTTGGTATACTGTTTGTTCAACGAGCAATAATAGTTTGTGTATATTTCCTCGTCCTGACTAAACTTTTAGGTTTTATCATTTTGGATGGGATTGTCATTTACGCATAATATCTTGCATCTGACTGGAAATTCTTTTGTTCACTGTTAATTTATGTGCTTATAAGACTTTCTGCTGATTACTACACAGGAATATGGGATTAGAGGATTTCCTACAATAAAGGTCTTTACCCCTGGCAAGCCTCCTGTAGATTATCAGGGAGCTAGGGATGTCAAGCCTATTGCAGAATTTGCCCTCAAGCAGGTTTGTTACAATATGTTAATTGTAGAAACGCAAAACTAGTAAATCGGCTAGAATTGGTAGAAAACTGGAAACTGAGAACCTGTAAAACTGGTTTCCTTTTGCCTTTTCTTTTTTAATTAATCTTGGGTTTCTTTAATAAATGAGTTGATCTTTTTCATTATGTTTAGCCCTTTTAACCCAATTTTAGGGTCATTTGTAAAATTTTAAAGTGCAATTCAAGTGAATTAATTTTATAGGACTTGAGTTGAATTATTGTTAATTTTATGAATTATACAGTTAAGGGCACTTTTGAAAGATCGTTTGGATGGGAAAGCATCTGGAGGATCAAGTGAGAAATCTGAACCTAGTGCATCAGTAGAATTGAATTCCCGCAACTTTGATGAAGTGGTGCTCAAAAGTAAAGAACTTTGGATTGTGGAATTTTTCGCTCCTTGGTAAGCATGCCTTAATTATTAGTCTAATACTCATCAAGTAATGATGCTTCACTAGTATGACTGGACTCACATGCATAAAATTGATAATGGATAATTTTTTGGCATACAGGTATTGAGGATCTTTTTATGAATAAGAAGAGATCAAATCTTCAAAGTTTCATGATATTTACGTGAAGCTATTAATTGTGTGTGTGACTTTTGAAAGATATTCTAAATTAATTCAACTATGATACTGCAACCTTTTTATTGGAAGATATTAATTTTGTATGTGATTTTTAAATGTTCTTTTGAACATATGACATTGAACTTACTGAATACCAATAGTCCAACAGAGCAATTAATATGTTCTGTATGTATCTATGGAGTTGCAAATTTAGTTTTAGAAGATGTATATGCCTTGTGCAAAGGATATCATATAAATTTGAGGGGATTAAGTCGATTTCAATGCGTAGTCTATGTTACATAAAATTTTGCACATGGTCTATGCTTACTAACATAGTAAGTTTCTAGCTCCTATTTTCTGATTGCGGTGATGAATACCTCCTTGAAGGTGTGGACACTGTAAAAAACTTGCTCCTGAGTGGAAGAAGGCTGCTAATAATCTGAAGGGGAAGGTGAAGCTTGGTCATGTTGATTGCGATTCTGAGAAGGTAATTATCCAAATAAATTTTTGCTTGGAAGTGCTGCGATTCTGATTGACTTACTTACAACTTAGGAATAAGAAATTTGCAAAGTTGAATTTTTCCATTAATGTGTTTAAATTTGATATTGCAATGCATCTGCCTTCTGAGAATATTTTCATACCCATAAATCACCCGATGAAATCTTATTAGAACTGAATAAGGTACTTCTCTATTTTGGAACGCTTTCAGATTGGAAAAAAGGATAATTATTTTTGTTATTGGAACTTCTCTATTTGTTTTTCTATTGT